AATATCGATAAAAATTAATTGCGTATTATTTGTAAAAGCTTCTTGAGTTAGCATTTTAAAATCGCTAATATTACTCCTCACTAAAAATAAAATACCAGATTCTAGGCAGAATTCGTTAAATTTGCGTCTCGCTAAAATTTCCACTTATACGGTATGATAAACGTGCCGACTTTAGCTTTCCTATCGTCAACTTCCCTTACTTATGCCGCAATATACCTTCATCATCACCTGCATACGGAGTGTATGCAGTGTATATCTCAATTGATTCGATACGCAAGAGCATGCTCTACGTATGAACAATTTCTAAAACGAGGTAAATTGTTGACGAGCAAGTTGATGAAACAAGAATATCAGCAGTCTTGTTTAAAGTAATTATTTTGTAAGTTCTATGGTCGATGTAATGACCTTGTCAACAAATACAATTTATCATTGTATATCGATCCATTTTTTTACCCGTAAAAACGACGAGCGGCGGGTGTGACCAGTCGATAGGGATGTTAATTCCTCCATGACACCTGATCCCACCTCAAGTGTTTAAAAGGTTAGTGATCACTCAGTTGCCAAACTGTATGGCTTCAGTGGACATGATCAATGAACCTGATAACTGTTCCTTACGTTTCTGAAGTGGAGCAAGCTATTGACAAACAAGTTGAGGAAACAAATATATCAACAGTCTCGTCTCAATTTATCATTAATTTTTTTAACACTGATGAAATTTGAAATTCACCTTTATACCATGAAATATCCGTATTCCCCTTACCAAAAAATACCTTAAATGTGAAGTATGTTTCACCCCCTTTCAAAACATTAAGGTTGTACTAGATTATTTATTTGACTGGACTATGAACGATTAAGTTTGAAGTTCAATGGGATAGAACAAATGATCGTTTATCTGTAAGCGGTCGAAAATTTCCTGCTAAAGGGGATTTGAGAGATAAATAGTTTGCCCTTGAATATTTTAGACATTTAATACATTATTTTAATCTCTTATACATACATTGATTACTTCATGTATTTTTGTTTTGTTTAATTAGAACCTTTGTAAATCAAATTCAAATTACCCTTAAGATTCTTTTATTCATATTCGATCGGAACTAATTTTAAATTTGAACTAGAATGTTCCTAGGAGAACATGTTGCTTCACTGCATGCATCTTTAAGGATGATAATAAATTTAAAAGCGGTCAAATATCTATTTACATTAAAGCAAAGACAAAACAATCATACGATGGTACCACTCTTCTCTCCATTTTATTATGATTACAAACAAGAAAAGTCCAGCATTAAAAATATAAACAAATAATGATAGAGTAATACCTCACTATCTCCACACCTACACACATACCCCAACGGAGAGAGAGGAATTTTGAAGGGACTTTTGTTTTGAATTGGGGCAGTATGTTTTTCGTACGCTTGTAAAAATGTTTGGCGACTTATGTAGCTTTAAAAATATTTGCTTTGGTGCTTAATCCACAAAAATACATGCAAGACCAGAAGAATACCCCTTATATATTATAGAAAGTTTAATAATTAAATAATTATACTTGGTAATAAATATGATTGAAATGAGTGATACTTGTTCCATCACTCCAAAATGTATACTGCGGTACTTCTTCGCAGTCTGCAATGGTTCTTCTCGTATAGCTGTACCGATTTACATATAGTTTAATAAAGTATGAAAATATTTCAATTTATATCATATGTATAGCATACAAAGGTTATTTTAAGTGTCAACAGCTCATAAACATGTGAAAAAAATTCTTTAATCAAAGTCTTGCTTTTAAAATAAAAAAAAACACGATAAATCAATTGTTGCAAAGTACTTAGTTTATCAAAGGTTAATTTCAGGTGGACTGTAGGTGGCCATGGTATTTTTCATACAGTGCACATAAAAAATAGCATATTTAAACACTAAAATGCTGTCTTTGTTTGTTATTACTGGAATGAACGGAAGCAGCTGTTGCAGAAAAAATGCATAACCCGCGTAAGCGGGTTAGGTAAATTTTTTCTGCAATAGCTGCGACCGTTCATTCCAGTAATAACAAACAAAGAAAGACATTTTATTGTTTATATTTATATCCGTTTAATTTATCATTTTAAGTAGGACTAAATATATTAATTATTGTGTTAATGATGCGAACGTCTTTGTACGTTTCATTGATGGAACGGCCACTGATCAAGAAATCTGTACAGGTGATATGCCTAATGTAGTTCATGCAGTGATGAACGCAAAGGATTTTCTTAAGAAATAAAGAAGAAAATATTTAGTGGATGTAAATATGTAGTCGTATTTCTCATATGTGAAGGATATACTATAAAACGACACAATTGACTATTTCTTTTGAATAATTATGTCAATGTCAAGGTTAAAAGTCAAGAAGTCAGAAACCAACTGAGGGTATTTTACAAAAGTCAAAGTATCAAGCAATATATGCATAAAAATTAGAAATCCGTACATGTGTAGTTCTCAAGAGAAAGGTTGCGACAGACAGATGGACGGAAAAGTGAAACAACTTATTTTACTTTAAGGTAGTCTGATACTCAGATTCATAAAATTTACAGTTAATTTATCGAAAATGCTCACAAACATATCTCTGAATCCAGAAAGTAATTTAAATTTACCCACAGTATTTCTTGAAAGTTAAACATTCTAGTGAATTACATGTATATATTTACAGGAAAAATTGTTAAATCTCCAATACTGAGTACATATTCAAAAAACGAAAATAGGAATATCATCTATGCATTTTCTAAATAAAAATCTAGAGATATGCAGCCATTCATAGAAAATATCATGATTTTTATACTTCTTCAGTCTGTACTCTGGTTTTTTTAAATTCCCTTCAATTACTATATAATGTATTGATTAAAATGCTTTTTCTATTATTGCAAGACGTAAAAAACCACTTCTAATTTTAAATCATGCTCATAACTATTGGTATTTAAGATTCAAGAAAGGTTTATTTCTCTAAGAATGTATTCATTTTTTACATTTAAAGGGTGCACATGTCAGCTTTTAAAATACCCTTTCTAAGACTTCCAAAAGCGTTTAATCATATAAAGATGGATAAAAATGAAAATCGTTTCTTGAAAAGTTTTCAATTTCAAACATCATATTGAAGCTTTTTAATTAAATTTTGGATTTATCTTTTCTGGCTAAGGATCAGATATTCATAATCAACCTTATCTGGTTTAATTGAATGCTGTATATCGGCACAATTTCTAATTTTAAAAGTATTTCAAAGGTTAATTTTTTAATTCTCAAGCTCAGGAATAATGGTATTTTAAAAACACTAAAGCGTCAAGCAATATGTGAGCAAAATATCGAAGTACTCATGATTAAGGGTGTGGTAGAAGGACGGATAGACAACATACAGATGCCGTTTAAATGATCCCGATGAATTTTGCATAAATCAGCATTGGTCTGGTTTAAAAGAATTGGTCAACATTATTCATCTCAAATTCACTTTCTTTGAAAATCGCCCTAAATGGGCTATTGCAAACCAAAAAAAGCATTCTCTATATTTGGACTGAAATCAAGGGCATTTTAACCAGCATTTCAAATCAGTACATATTTTCTTATCAAGTCTATAAAATGATTATACCTCTTAGACTAGCTTAAGTTTGCTGATAATATGTTCTGCTTTTATGTTTTGAAAATTAATAATTGTATCAAGAGCTTTCCTATTGTGATAGAACTCGTATGGAAAGAATACTTTCTTCCAGAGGAACATAATATACACATAATCTATATTCTTATACTTTTGACAAAGATGACATATATATTTGTAGTTACCGTACTTACTTTAGAATGCCAGTATTCAGTCAGGAAAAAATCTTAAAAGTAAGGAAGTGTATCCTCCTCCTTCAAACTGCAAACTGATAATAGTAACGTACTGGATTATTAACTTCACTGGACTATGGACGATTAGCTTTGTAGATTGTTTATATAGTTACAGGTCAAAGACAGGATAAAATATATTATCTTGGAAATCTTCCTTTAAATATTATGTATTAAGGGTTGATGTTAACAGGAATGTAGTCATACATAATATCCAGTGATCGATTATAAATTTGTTAAATTTGTAGCTCTTAGCTCCAAATATTTAAATGCGAGGTAAGGATAGGGTATAAATTACAAAACAAGAGGCCCATGGGCCACATCGCTCACCCGAGAAGCTTGACCATTCCGTTCTTTACCAGATTTCCCCCCTTGTAATACATATTGTGACCCCACCCTACCCAAATGATCATAATTTAGACAATTTGAAATCTGCGCTACCATCGGATGCTTTGATTTAACATTGTAAAACTTTGATTCCCCATTCTTGACCCGCCACAACAATTTAGAATTTACACTACCCCGGGATGCTTCCACATAAGTTTCAGCTTTTCTGGCCCAGTGGTTCTTGAGAAAAAGATTTTTAATGACCCAATCCTTTTTTGTCTTTTCTTGATTATATCCCCTTATGAGGGGAATTGGCCCTTCATTTTAACAATTGAAATTTTCCTTCACCAAAAGATGCTTTGTACCAAGTTTGGTTAAAATTAGCCCAGTGGTTCTTGAGAAAAAGTCGAAAATGTGAAAAGTTTACAGACGGACAGACAGACGGACGGACGGACGACGAACAAAATGTGATCAGAAAAGCTCACTTGAGCCTTCGGCTCAGGTGAGCTAAAAATGAATAGATATTTTCTTCTTTCCTTATTGACAGTTTATTGTTTCTAAGACTAAAGCATTAGCTTTAACTACAATGTACAATTCGTGTTTCCTGGGGTGAACGTATAGAGTATAAGGAGTTTGAATATTTATAAATCAACAATACTCAACAATACCTTAAAATTTCAAAAATTGTATATCAATAAATTCTTACATAATAACACAATTACCGTAAGGAAAAACAATTCTTAATGTAAACAGTCTTTATTTACTTCTCTTTAAATCACCAGAGTATATGCGATATTTGTATGAATTATTTCTTCAAGAAAAATACTTTAGAATCATTGAAGATACTTGTACACTGTCAGTGTGTTGGAGTATCGTTGCCCCACATAGATATTCTTCTCGTTATCTACACACAAACTACGGGGATACTTCACCAATTGTTTTTCTGTAAATACAAAAGACAAAAACTGACCATTCTGATCAAGGAGGTGAACAGAGTTACTGATCTCATCACAAACCAGGATGTGACCGAGGACATCAGTACAGATTCCATAGGGACAGAACACTGACCCCTGACCTATGTAGGAGAACCTGTGTTGTCCTGATTTATTCACCACCACTACTGCCTCTTTATTAAAGTCTGATGTACAGATATCTCCATTGATGTTTTCTGTGATATAGAGTGGAAGTTTATATATATATCCTGTCTTTTGTTATCGCTCTGTATGTTCTGTAGTTCTTGCCCTGTCTTGTTGTACCTGGTGACTTTAGCCTCTAAACCCTTTTTCATCCCCACGAGTAAGTCCCCGTTGAGATGGGAGCAATATATACTATAAGGTTCCCAGTCTCCTGTATTAAAGAATTCGGTGATCTTGTTATCCTGTACTTTCTTATAGATGGCTTTTCTGTTTTTGTCCGTGAAGATCAGATCCCCGTCCTGTGTGACTGTGTGGTAACCTTCATCCTCTCCCCTGGTTTTTATTTTCTTTAATTTATTCCCCTGTAGATCTGTTTGGATAAATTCACCGTCTCGGTCGCTGATCCAGAGTCTGTCTGATTTACCTAACGATACATGGTAGACGTTATGGATTCCTTGTACTTTGAACTCCCTGACTTTAGTAAAAGAGACGGCTGAAAAAATTTTTTCTTTTTTTTTTTCCTCTCTTTTTTTATTTCACATACTGCTTTTGTTTTGATTATTTATTTGTAGATCACGTTCATTTCATTCTAAAAAATGCACTTTCTTCGCCTTTAATTCTCCTAGCAAAATAAACGGCTGAATGTTTAATTATTATTCTATTATTGAACACCAACAACATACAAAAGGATTGTATTCTTCCAATAATTTTTATATTTTAACTTTTTGAATGAAACTTGCATTTATCCATTGGATGATGAGGAAAATCTCAGGATTCTTTTCTGCTGAAATAACCATGAGTCGGTCTCACATATAGCCAGATATCTCGATCTGTGGAAAACAAATAAATTATTACATTGTCTCAAAATCTTTAGTATACATGTACAACATTTGAGAAAGTGTAAGGCGGAAAAAAGGGTATAAAATCAACATTTGTTTAAATTCGAAAGCCTTTTGATACATGTACATGTACTACCAGTATAGTAACAGTTAGTTTTTAAAAACATCCTGTAGTACAGACCATAAACAGTACTACACTGCTTGCACTCTTTAAAGTCGCCATGACTGTCTGTTGACGGTTGTATATACCGATACTCAGTACCCAGCTATTTATTTAAAAAGTTACCAAAATCACTTAATGACAACACAAAATTATTAATAACTTGTTCGACACAAAAGTGGTTGGTTGAAGAAATAAGTCTTAAAAGACCCAATTACAGTCAGTTTTGGAAATGGAGAAGAAAGGCATAAATAATTTCAATAAAAAGAAAAAAATGCCACTATCTCTGTGATAAAATAAAAAAAACATACATTGTACCTGAAATATCCATTTAAGAATTATTCAGATTACATTTGCCCCATTTATCCCTGTCGATAACTTACTGTTGAAATGAATGTTCTCTAAAACTAAACACTTTTGTCAATAGACTTAGACCTTTTTCCTATTGGAGTTAAATATAGATTTAAATCTCTCAAAATATTTAAAACACGTTTGTATACGAATCATTTATTATATTATAAAGCTCTAATTTTAAACTACCTTTGTTATTTAAGTACAAACTGGACAAGAATGCTTCGCTGTTTATTTCCAAGCTCCCTTACATTGTAAATGTAAGTAAACTGTATTTTTAAGGTACACATGTATAAGTACTACAAAAGGTTTTCATTGAAAAGACATTCATAATTTAAAAAGCAAATTCAAAGAATTGTGGCCCCCCGCTTTAGGTGTCTTTGTGGGTGAGATGTAATTTTTTATGACATATTGTGTTATACATAAACACCCTATCATATGTTATTTAGAAATTATCACCAAAGAAATGTCTTTCACAAGAAATACACTTGTGAAATATGAAAGTCATAGCTCCATTTCACCAACAGTTATGTTCAAGGTTAAAGATTTTGTGACGGACGGACAGACAAATGAGATTTTAAAAAGTTCAAGTTTTTAAATTAATATTGTAAATCAAACTCCAAGGTTATGTGATCAAAATGTTGTTATCCAAAGAAAATAAAAATGGTTTTGAGTCATTGTATATATAAACCTGTTGAATATAAAGCACAAACACCAATCGTTCAAAAGTTATGGACTACATTAATATTTTCAAAAATGGGTCAAACTCCAAGGTCAAGAATAAAAGATCAAAATGAAAAGTATGTTGAGGATGACCATGCCATAAGAAATACACATACAAAACAGGAAAGCTCTAGCACCAATTTTAAAAGATAATGGCAAAGTGAGAACTTTTTCAACATAGGTCAAACTCCAAGGTTAATAGGTCAAGATTGTGTGTGTTCGAAGGAAGATCTTGTCGTAGATTGATCGATTGATTGTATATTGTTTAACGTGCCTCTCGAGAATTTTTAACTCATATGGAAACGCCACCACTTGCCGGTGTAGAGATGCAAATTTTGTCCTATATTCGGCACTCAGGCCCATTGAGCAGGAAGGGATCTTTTTCGTACCAGCACCTACTGCGAAACGCGATCTCGGTTTCTACTTTCTCATCCGAAGGACCGGTTTCCACGTCCCATAGTGGGATTGAACCCGCGACGTAAAGATTAACTCCATACTTCGCGACTCTAGAGCAGACACTCTAACCACTGCACCACGAGGGCGCTTGTCGTAAAGATTGATTGATTGTATGCTGTTTAACGTCCCCTTCGAGAATATTTCACTCATATGGAGACGTCACCGTATGCCGGTGAAGGACTTCAAATTTAGAACTATACTCGGCACTCAGGGCGATAGAGCATTAAGGATTATTTATCGTTCCAGCGCCTACCGTGACACGGAACCTACGTTTTTAAGGTCATATCCAAAAGACCCACCACTTTCACTTCTGATGCCGAGCGTTTGGAGAAGGAACAGTCACTATCTACCTATTTTTACGTCTTAGGTTTGACGCGGCGCAACGAACGAGAATCGAACTCGGGCCTCCCGATCACGAAGCAAACGCTCTACCACTAGGCTACCATGGTAAGACGGTAAGACACATGTTGAATACGTTTAAAAAGTATATAGCCAAGATTTAATAACACGAAATTATTCGAAAGAAGGTCTTTAATATATAATGATGACTATATACCCTCCCACTTTTCGAGCGGGAATATAATGTGCAAACCAGGGGCTTTTATAGGGACTGGAGGAGAATAGTCCACAGACGAGAAAATAATGTGGCTAAAAAATATAATACTCTTTCGTTTACGAATCAGCTTTAACATGTTATCTTCATTACAAAACTTCCTTGGGTCAAAATGTGTGCATGTGCTACTAATAAAAGAGTACTAAACAAATAGTTGTTTGTTTGTTTGTTTTTTATATATGCATTCAGTATATACATACTTCAGAGATGCATTTCTCACTTTAGCCAAGTGACCATACCTGAAAAATCATAGTGACAATGAAAGCCCTGTTACAACACACTTTGAAAAATTATGCACTTTGAAAAAAAAATCGAAGTGTGTTAAATTTTGGACCAAATCAACGCACTTTAAAAAAAATAAAATTTCTTTCAAAGTGCGTTAAGATCGACCATCTAAATGCACTTTGAAAAAAAATGTGTATGGTCGATATTCTTGCAAATCTTAGGTATGATGAATAATTGAACCTGTTGGATAACTTTTCGGTGTAAATGTAACTTCAGGATGTGAAAATGAGCGATTTTGAATTTTCCATACTTTGAAAACTCCTTCTTTCTTAAATCTTTCAATGTACTTCATTTTTTCCAGTTTCCATGTATTTAATTATTGAAAGTTTTTAACGTCACAGTGGTTATGCAAATACATATATTTGGGTGTAGCATAAGCATCGGTATCGGGAGGGGGACTTAGAAGGCAAATGTCTTACAAAGTTATACATAAAATAGACATTGAAAATTTGGGCTTACCTTCAGGAGTTTGTCCACGTTCATTTTGCTACCGTCGGCTATTTAAAAAACGAGATGGGCTGAGAGACCTTCTACTCGTCTTCTTGTTCTCAATGAACTTAAATCAATAAATATAAATTTCGCTAGAATTTTTGCTTTATACATATTTTTTCAAAGTGCGTTAAATTTGCCCAAGGTAAAAAATGTTGATGTACACTCTTAACGCACTTTGAAAAAAAATTTCAAAGTGTGTTGAGTGTGTCCCATTTAACGTACTTTGAAATTTTTTTTCAAAGTGCGGTGATTTTGTTCCAATTTTAACGCTCTTTGAAACATTGAAACAAAGTGCGTTGCCACAAGGCCCATTGATCTTTTTTAATTTATAAATTATTGATAATTTTGTGTTATTTTGATTGATTCTATTCTATGACAATTACGGTAAAACTTGAGGTAATGTGAGCACTAAGCTCACTAAATGATACACATGCTTCCCATACGATTATCATGGCAACGTCAGAGAAACATCCCGATCATTTTCATAATAAATTGATAAAATTACAAGAAAGATTCTTTAGGGATAAACCATACAAACGGTTTATACATACACACACAAGGTTTGAGTTTAGATTTTTTTATCTGTTTTCTGTTCTTATGACTGTCACATGTTTATCTTTTAAAAGTGGGTTTCATAGGTACACCTGTCCTGACCATGTAAGCGTGTGAAGTGGATCACCTGATAATAAGTGTCAGATATTATTATTGAGATAACTCTTCTCTCATTTGATCATATTTAATTTATTACAATACCCGCTCGAAAGACTAGCTAGGGGAGTATATAGCGATGTGAATATCTGCAATTCCTCATATACCAATGAATGAAATTTAATGATATACACATGTACTTTCATCAAATCTTTGTTACATAGTGCGATTGTGACATCCTATTTGACCTTTGATTGGACAAATATTTCGAATTTCCCATTGCAAAACATTGACACCGCCATTCTTTCTATAACATTGAGGGGTATCCATCTCTTCCTTTACCACAAAATAAAAATAAAGTACATGTATGCTTTTACAGATTCTTTATATCATACTGGCATTGTGCACTTCCTGATCTACTGTCTGACTTGACTCTTTTTCGAGTGTCCCAGAGCAAACTTAGACTGTGTTACTGTAAACAAATGTAAGGCGAAATATCATTCTGTGACCTCGGTGCTCTTATTACTTATACTCTAGTTTACTTCTTGTATTAAGAAGAGATAAAATGGGCACAGTTACATAGTTTATTCATGAGCTTTTCTGGATAAATTAAATTACAAGTTGCGTTTTGCGTATAATTGCAACCTCCTCCTCGCAAAATCAAAAATAGGGGGAGCTAGGGTTTACAGAAGTTTTTTGTTGACACAAAAATAATTGTTTTTTTTTTTAATTCATCATTCCGTAAGTTCTATGGCCGATACAATTACCTTTTCAGCAAATACAATTCATCATTGCTAACAAACGTTTTTATACTAATTGTTAGTCCATCATTTATAAACTGAATTGACGATTGATTTTTTTTAGCTATTTCCCGATCATGACATGGAGCTCACGGCGGGTGTAACAGGCCGATAGGGGATGCTCATTCCTCCATGGCATATGATCATTTCAACCATAATTTATAAAAAAAAAATTATATAACTGATTTAGGAGCACTTTTACTTTCAGCTGAATTGTCATTTTATAAAGTCATATTTATTTTACATATCTTATTTCACATTATATCAAATAAGTAGGTGCTTTTTTACCAAGCAACCCGGGGTAATGTGGATAAGTCACAGGTTTCAATATTGTGTACTGGATGGCTAACTGTATGTTACCTTAGGGTATCAAGCAATCCTGACTCATGGTCTTTTGAATAAGGACAGGGTCATAGATCCCAAGAAGTGTGAAATTCTTCGAATTAATTTGAATTAAATGCCACGCTAGTCTTGAAACATGTCCCTCGCCAATGATTGACATAATTTTTTTAAAAAGTGTCGAATTTCCATATTATATTTTTCTATTTTAGGAAATCAAAGCATAGACTGTTTGGAAAAGTGGTAAGTGGAATAAAAGTTTAGGTCATGATCTTTCTCGAAGAATATGGAAAGTCGTTTCTTGCATGCAGTAGGTTTTGACTTAAGGTATTGCATCCTTCAACCAATTAAAATCCAGAAGATCCAGGACATAAGCAAATGCAAGATAGCAGAGTTCTTTCTCAAGGTAAGTCAACGTGTACTTTTAATTGTCAGGATGACCTGCGAATAACACTGGTTACATTTGAACAATTCTAATTGTATTTCAATTTGTGTCTTCATTTTCGATGTAAATGCAAATTGGCAAGTATTACTGAAAAACAAAAAAATTCTAAAAACTACAAAGTGTGTAAATAAATAAGGTCAAATAAGCTATTAACACAAGAAAACAGCTGTACAGATGGAGATCATTTATCAGGACAAGGCACTCTAATATAGTATTTAAGTCAGTTGTCCCACAACGTATGCATTCCCTTGACTAAAGATAAGACATCCGCCCCGCTCCTAAACTGCCAGATAAGCAGTATAGTAACAGTCCACACCGTGTAATACCAGTGTACCACCATGAGGTCCCTGTTAGCTCTTCTGTGTCTGTGTGGGACCGCCCTGTCCCACCCTGGTTTCCGGCTCCTTATCCCAAACGGCATTAATGTCCCTAACCCCTGCATTAACGTGGTCGGTTTGTGGAATGCAGTTGGACACAACATAGAGATTGGAGGTGGACCAGGAAATGTCTTCGGAGCGGTAATCTTTCTTTTTTCATATCCTTTATCCATTCCTTTTTTTTAGTTTAACTATTACTTTCTGACTGAAGTTTACTCTTTCATATCTCTTTGAACCATGCCAGTATAGGACTTGAAAGAAACTGTAAAAATATAAACCAGAAGGAAAAGTACTCCGAAAATGATTTTCTAAGAGAGTAAAAATCAGGAAAGAACTTCCAATTCATCCTCAGATGTCCATGCTATTCGTAATCGATGTTTCAGTTGTAGATAAAAAGTTCTTTTAACCACTGTAAGCGTTGAAGAAGTTGTCTCAGTTTGACTCCTGTAAAAATAATAAAATTAATTCTACACAGATGCAACAAAGAAGAGACTGATTGAAATGGTTTGAGTTGTAGTATGATTAAAGAATTTATCCTTGTGCTTTTCAGGACTTTGTAGCAGCTAATACTCAATGGACCAAGGACTTGTGTCAGAAAGACTCTGACATGGACGGCAAGACAAATGGGGAGGAGCTAGGGGACCCCAACTGTGTGTGGAAGCAGGGGGACGCTCCAGCAGGGGACGCCACTGGACATCCAGGTATGACGTCACTAGTACATTAACTGGTGGACTAACCAAATTAATGGGGAAGATGGGAAAGGGATACAACATATACCCCATTTATACCTTAAATCAGGGGAACTATAGATAATTAAGCACGCCTTATTTTAAAACATATCAAGATAACTTAAGATTTTCGCATTTATTCTATGACGGTGCTACCTTAATAGCTGCAATTTCTTGAAAAGGATAACTTGAGATTGACAAGTATGTAATTTATAGTGTGTTTTTAACATTAAAAAAACTTTTTGCAACTTCAACTACTGATTGTTTTTTCTTCATTGTCCACTTCTGTAGATACCTGAATATTCGTGTATTTAGCTTCACTGTATATAAAGAATTGTAAAAGGATGGCTTTCATTCTCTGTATTTTCAGGTATTTGTGAACCCATGTCTGATGCCAATTGTATGAAGATTAATGCCAACATCACTTGTATATAACAAGTCAATTTCTAATTATACATTATGAACATTAGTGCACATTTCATTCAATGATTATTTTGTACTGAATGTGTTATAGTAGTGTATACAAAATACGTAGAATGTATAATAGTATAGAAAGGTTTAAATAAATGAAAAAAAAGTTTTATTTTATTTTTAAGGCCACTTGTTTAATTCTGAACATGTGAACATGTTCTTAATATCAAGATTGCTTTGGCCAATTTTTGAGTTTGGTTATTGATTGTGGGATTTTACAATATGTACATTCGGTGTACACTATAAACAGTCTACATACATGTGACATGTTAACAAAATATGACTTTTGAAGTCGGCTGGCAACCTGATTTATTACTGTACGTCCTTATATACTCAAATGTATTTTTAGATGAAATACTGTTATAAACTGAAGTCTGTTATAAAATACAAATAAGGCTTGTTTCATAAAAAAAAGCAAGACATCAAAGTACTCGTTCACGAAGTATAGGGGATCATAGGACACATCATGGCACCTGATCCCACCTCTGATGTTTTGGAGGTCAGTGTTTGATCTGCTCCTATAATGTATTGCTTTATGGCCGGACTTTTGATCTTGAATACTGTTCTCCATATGTTTCACTCAAATACAAAGTGCAGTAATGAAATGTAAGTGATCACGGGACTTAATTACAAAAGGCAAGGCATTATATGAGACTTAATAACGAAGTGGAAGGGATCATAGGACCCAAATGCGGCGTACAAAAGAATAAATGCAATGAATACGTGATATAATGATAATTTATTGTATAGTTTTAAATATCGTTATGGTGACATTAAAATTCAATTTGCAGATGATTCTTCTCTTTTTTATGATTTTAGATGAATTTTTTTTCCGTGCATGCAAGACAGTATTCTAGGAAAACTTGTAAATATTATACTTATTTCAAATCAATTTGAACTTTTATTATGCTTTTGTGAAAGGTCTCAGATCTAAAAACTGAACAGGTTTTATTTACACGTACATGTCACTATGAATAGGTTATATGTAATACATTGCATGCACAATAGTGGTATGCATTGATAATTTTTCTTAGGTAACAAAAATTTGCAAAAATAATTTTTATGACTGTTTCAAATGACTGATAAATGTTATTTGTTTCAAGAATGTGTGAAATGTTTTATCCTTCACGTTCACCAGTACAGGAATATGGACTGCATATCAATTGTACTTACAAGTGCACTTGTACACAGTATTTGGAGTACATTTTTCATAATTAATCCGCGAAAGTAATATTTTAATAATTCCTACATAGTTCTGTGGCATGTTAACATGCTGACTTAAATAAGGAGCCCATTATTTTATCCTACATTGTATATTTTAACATACACTATTGATTAATTAGCGCCTTTCAAACGAATTTGAAGACTGGAACAGTAATTTTATCACCCTTAATACAAAGTACCGATTCCTTTTTCTCTTTTCGATATTTATAATGCTTTTCATTTTTCCCCTCTTCTACGAGACCAGTGATATTTTCTGGATTCAGGTTGGCTTAAAGCCTTTATAAGTCGAAAGAGTGTACATATTTCAGTTAACGAACGTTGTAAATTAATGATAAGGCGAAATTTTAAGTAATTATTTTTTTAATTATAATGATTAATACTTTCCTTTTTAATAAAGAATCAAAGCATTGATATGAGGAAATTAAAGAAAAAAAAACAATTGAGAACATAAAAAAATGAATTAATAATTACATGTAATATCAATTAAAGAGTAAATCTTCGTATCACTGATTGGTTCTATGAACACTACAATAGATAACTGTGACAAATATAGTACATCTGACACCTATTTTAGGAGAGATATGTCATGCCCCTAATTATTTGTTGTGTCCAATGCCTAGTGGGGAGATTGTAAGTGCGTTATGTGTTTGGTCAACTTTCCCGATATGAAAGAACAGACATAGTATTATCAATTGTTACCGTTTAGAAAGACTAAAGGTCGTGGCAATCTGGATTCTACACTTGGACTGAAATGTTGTCAGGAGTACTAACTGTGCTTTTCTTATCTTTCTCTGTATTTGGACTGCCCGGTTATCGCTTGAAGATACCTAACGGAATCAACGTTCCCAACCCGTGTACCAATGTTTTCGGATTATGGAACGGAGTGGGGCACAATATTGCAAATGGAGGAGGCTCTCTAAATCCGTTTGGCCAGGTACCATAGAAAATGAAATACTGAAGTACATTAAAAGCTTAAATTCGATGTTTCAACTTAGTCCTAGAAAAAATTAAACTTTAGATTTAAACTTTTAATGTAACCAAACTTTTAAGAATGGCATTTTGCGTATGTTATAGAATTCATGTTGTATAACATCCCTTCGGAAATGTTTCACTTATACTGGCCATGGAAAGTTACACATTTAGACCTGCACTCGATGGCCATTGAGCAGCGAGGGATCTTGTGCCAACACGTACTGCGACACGGGACCTCGGTATACGGTCTAATTTGAAGGACCAGTCTCCACGTCCCTCGATGGGATTCGAACCCGCGACTTAAGGATCGAAACAACTCCTTACATCATGACTCCATTGCAAATGTTCCAACCATTAGCGTGTATAATGTATACTATATTCTATATATAGAATATATAACTAAAGTTTAAAGAATAATATCTGTTGATCATCCATTTTTTATTAACTTAAAGGATTTTATGGACGCTAACTACACCTGGACTCAGGAGCTATGTGGAAAAGACTCGGATTCGGATGGAAAAATTAACGGACTTGAACTCGGAGACTTTAACTGTTCCTGGTTTGAAGGACAGCCTCCCATGGGGGACCCCACAGGACATCCAGGTACAAGTACATAGTATGCGTAAATACTTTACGGGGGTATGGGGGAGGGGGTCAATCGGGGTACCCAGAAGTCGCAGAAAAACAGAACATAATTATGCCTGGGACGCACTGGACATCTACCTAACTTTTATTGAAATGTATCAGACACAAAACTAATAATGCTTCTACCTTTTTTTAGAAAGTAGATTGAATCTTCTTGGGGAAGAACCTAAACTTTTTATTATACAGGGCAGGGTTTCGCAAAAGTTTGTGTTCATAACATTATACATTTATGTAGTTAGATCAATGTCAAGCGTTCGCCTCAGTATTTTAAATATATGAGTCTATTACAATTAAACATATTATGATCATAATAATGATTTCCCCAATCAAGTTATTCATGATCTAAAATGAGAGAAATGCATACCAAAATAAGGAGCAATGCTGTTGTGAATGTATCTAAAATAATGGAAAGTTTGGCTTTAGTGTGAAAGTATTATCATAATTGATGGCTATGGCACGCCAAATTCACAAAAATGAGATAAACCTAGTTTCACAATTGATAAACTAGGTTTATCGACTGTAAACTATAGTTTACAATCCGTAAACTATAGTTAACGATTCGTTTAGTATAGTTTTCATCTGTAAAACTATATTTAACGGTTGTTAACTATAGTTTACGAATGATAATCTAAGTTTATCTGTCTGTAATAAGCGTTAACAATAGATTTTGTTGATAAACATAGATTCACGTTTGTAAACTATAGTTAAGAGTTGTTAATCATAGTTTCACAAATCGTGAAACTATATTTATCAGATCGTTAACTATAGTTAACGGTTTGTAAACTATAGTTTACAAATCGTGAAACTGTATTTATCAGATAATCTATGTTTTGCAATCGCAAATGATAGTTTTCGGTGTTAAGTATAGTTTACGGTTGTGAAACATAGATTATCGCGTTAACTATAGTTTACAGATGTAAAATATAGATTAACATTGTTAACTATAGTTTACAGTCCGTAAACTATAGTTTACAACCGATAAACCTAGTTTATCGATTGTGAAACTATGATTTGCTCATTTTTGTGAATTTGGCGTGCCATAGATGGCAGTTAGTTAACGAGATGAATATTTAAAAGTAATACCATCTCCATTAGCAGGAAAAGTTGCAAAAAATGTGTAAATACCATCAGATACATTTTTAGTGCAAACACATTGACAAACATTTAAAAGTTGCATTTTTTTTTTGGTTTTTTTTTTTTTTTGTTTAAAAATTACCTGGGGACTGTTCACTTCTACAGGTATATTTGTTTTATGTGATTTAAAGAAATCTCTTCTTAATTTCTCAACATTTGCTATTCCAAAATTTAAAATTTTAACTAAATCTGATTTTTTTTCCAGGTATATGCGAGCCAATGGACGATCCTAAATGTTTAAAAATTAACGAAGCCGTTACATGTTTGTGAGGTGTTAATCAAATTTTCTATAAACTTTTATTTTATATTTTTTTTTAAAGCAGGGGTAAAATATTTATATTTGTTACAATTGTGATCATTTAGGCGTTACTTTTTAATAATTACTTACTTTTTTCCTTTATTGAATGCATGACTTTGCGTTTTGATTCAGCGATAATAAAAGCACTTTATATAAGTCCTGTTTATCGTTGTTGTTATTGCGTTCTTGTGTTGTTGTTTTATTTTCTTCTTCTAAACATAAGAACGTTTCTGACACAGATATATCCATTAACTAGAGCCGAGCTCGTTGCAAAGCAACGAGTAGGTCTTCCGTTGGAGCTATGGACAGGAAGTACCGACCTTGGGTCAAGGTCACTGCACTTTCTTATGTGAAAAACCTTTCTTCTCAGTATGAGCCTCCAGTGAATTTTAATTACAAAGTTATGCTTAAACATTTTTTTCTCTGTCAGTGACCTAGATTTGCTAGAATGACCTTTGATCAGGGTCATGACACAACCTCCAATCATAAGTAATCTATGTTTCAAGTAAGAGCCTCCAATTATTTTCATTTACTAACTCATAGCATGGGAAAAAAATATTTTTTTTCTGTCAGTGACCCTGATCTTAACAGAATTGGCTCTGTGTCAAGACAAACCTTCAATCTGAAACAACTTTTAGTGATTCAAAATTCATAACTCTGACAGGAATTTTACAACTTTTCTGTCATTGGCCCTGAATTTGTTAAAATGGCCTTATTTTAAGTCATCTGAAACCGGCGGACTATAAACAATTTTTATCAAGTATGAACTTAAAAAAAAATTGTCCAAATCGAAATGATACTATTTTCGGAGTCACAATCATAGAAAAATCCTTTTGTCACAAGCAATCTCTGTATCAAGTATTAGCAAACAAATATTCTCGATTACATATAAATGAGTGCGACAAAACATTTATTCTTTCTCCAGTGACCTTGAATTTGCCGTAATATTGCCTTGCTTCATGACACATCCTAGGATCATTATAGCCTGGCATTCTGGGAAAAACTTTGATGGACAGACAGACATCTGGACAGTTAAACAGACAATTTAATTCCCAACCCATCCACCCTACCCCCTAAAATACTCAATCACTTTGTGGGGGAAACTCTGGTCATTATTTGAAAAGAAAGTGATCTTTTTTATATCAGGAAGCTTTCATAAGTATATTTTCTCATTCTTGCCCACAGGTTCATAAGAATAATATTTTAAAACGACCCCTTCTTATCTTACTAACCATTTTCTAACCTTTTTCTCCATTATCTTCATTTTATATCATCCAAGGTCGCCCTCATAGCCCACTGATTAGAGCGTGTGCTCTATAGTCGCAAAGTAAGGAGTTCATCCTTACATCGTGGGTTCGAATCCCACTGTGGGACGTGGAGGCCTGTTCTTCGGATGAAACCGTATAAAACAAGGCCCCGTGTCGCCTAAGGTGCTGGCACGAAAAAGATCCCCTTCCCCCGGTCAAAGGCCTTAAGTGCCGATTATAGGATATTTGAAGCTCTCCACTGGCAAGTGCATGATGGCATCTGTATATGAGTGAAATATTCTTGAGAGGGACGTTAAAACATATCAATCATATCCCCCCCCCCCCAAAAAAAAAAATGATTAAGAATTTTGCCTATGAAATATTTCGGGAGGGGTGTTGAAAGTTTAGGCTAAGTACAACTATCAGTCCATTGAATAAGAATATTTATTTCAAACTTTGGGGAAAGGGGGTGGGGTGCATGGGGGTTATGGTGTATACGTAATACATTCGAGATTATTATTATTCCATTAGACAGAAAGGCCCAAGGAGTTGTGATTTGCTGATCATGATCTAAAACACATTGACAAACCCAAACCACATGGTTTTATACACGTCCTTCAATTAATTTATTCATAATTATTTTCCTTGAAGGAGAAATGCATGGATAAAAGATAAAAGAAAATTCCTGATGTACAATTGCATCCATGCATGGACTTTTAGTACTTACATATTGTGCTTGAAGTTGAATAAAATCAACGAATAAATTTAATTTAAATAAGAAAGGGGGGTTATGTTTAATAAAATAAATTAGAATTGATACAGGGAGACTCTCTGTTAAATACATGAATGTACATGAACAAAATGCCTCTCTCTTGCCTTCTTTCGTACATTTATTATTTTAAACCGGGAAAAGTAATGTGTGTTAGATATAAGTTCATAATTTTAAAGAAAATACTGAGTTATGTACGATAAATGACACAAATGGTTTGACTATGGTGCCGGATATTATTTTAATAGTTCAAATTAGGTTGTAAAGGTGTACTTGATAAGTTTTTGATATTCAGTAGCTGCAGTTTGTTATATAAGTTCTTAAATTTTCGGTTCTGGACATAGGATGCGAGTTTATTACTACTTACATGTACATTGTATAACTTGGTACCGATATTAAATCACGGAACAAAATTACAATGTTAGCACACTACCGGGTATACTTATCATTTACGGGATTTGAATAAATTATTTTACAAATTATGTTCATTGCTTTAAAATCTTGAATTATTTTTTCAACTTTACTAGTATCGAACCTGTAATATAATTATGCATTGTGCAGCACAGAAGCCACTTATGAAGTTTATACGTGCCGGAGTTAACTATCGATGTTTTAATCCATTTCATTGACTATAATTCTATCCATATGATTCAGAAGATTCTCTTTAAAATTTAAAATTGGTATAGACATGGTAAAAATCTGTGATGGAAAAAAAATGTGTTTGGGAAAATTTGTGTTGAAAACGGATTTATTTGTGTGTGAAAAGGGCAAAGCTTATGTATTTAAATCAATATTGGTTGAAGTAAAGTAACCACAGATCGTTATAGTCCTTACGCAATGAATCGTCAAAATAAAAAGTAAAATTACACATGGAGCTAACAATATGTGAGACTGATTAATATGATTAATGTACTGAGTACATGTAAAGTAAATGCCCCAGGGTTTTGTGCTGAAGTCAAACCTAAGACAATTTAATATGAGATTTTTTTAAATATTCGATTTACTTCAAGAAAATAAGATTTTCCCGTAAGTTTGTAAATTAGACACGTCAACCACCCGGCGAAATTAATGTCAACAAGCGATGGAAAGAATGGTTGGTCGCGTAATTGTAAACAAACACAAAACCTAGATAGCTGTTTTAGTTAAAATATGTATCACGTTCAAATTTAAAACAAAGTTAAGCCAACATATTAATCTCAAATATTCGACAATAAGAATTTTCCATTAATTGTCGTGTTGTAGAAAGGTTTTAATATATCAATTATTTTGCCTACGGGTTCACCGCGGAGTGTCGCTTTAGATTTCTCGGCCGCGTGTAATCGACGGATAGATTACGTAATGGTAAACACGCTTAGAATCTGTGTTCCAGGTGAATGTGAGAATCGAGCAGTAAATAATGGTGTATTATTTGACTCTTGAAAAAGTTTCTATGAGATCTGGGTGTATATTGTTTTCATTTAAATTGTTTGTGTTCATTTGATACAAAGAAAAGATACTCGTACTTTTATCACTTTCTCTCTCTCTCTCTCTCTCTCTCTCTCTCTCTCTCTCTCTTGGAAAGATCTTTATTAATAAAAAGAAAAAGTTGCCATCGAATACTCTGTACGGGAACCAAAAAACACGTTTAAAACCTAATAAAAAAAATATGATCAGCGTTGTCAAATATTTATTACTTATGGCATGTTTATTTCAATTATACGCATAAAAAGTTCTCCTTCAATAGCAAAATAAGAACGGTGCCATGTTTACGGATCTACATTTCTTTCTTACCATACGTAAGACTCGAACAAAATAATATTTTCATAGGATAGAAATGATATAAAGGAACAATTTAAAATCGACAACCATATCAAAATATTTACCGTTTTTGAGTTATAAAGCAAAAACTTTCAAGGCCCCTAGATCCCTAATTCTAGGGGCCAGCCCCTTTTCAATGATATCAAACGAAAGCTCTTGCAATTATGCACAACTTTTATTCAATATGTCTTAACAAAATGTTTTTAGTTTTCAAGATAAAAGGTAAAATATGTGTAATTGTTCGCTCTTTTATGCGTTCTAATTTTTGACCCCTATATAGCGCCATTTTGAATAAAGAAATCGTAAAACAAAAACTGGCATGCACAACTTCAATCCTTTTATTATCTAAAATCAGTAGAATTTCTGCTCCAGCTTTTGTGGTCTCTGAGCCTTTATCTGGAAATGAAAGCCTATAAATTTTCATTTAAAGGGAAATAACTCAAAAGCGGAAGTACTTTTTTGAAATATTAGACGGCTTTCTGACAGAGTTTATCGATGTGTATAATGACTGAAAATTTTAGCAAAATCCGTTGAGAAATGAGTGAAATATGAGGCCTCAAAGTTGGCGTCTAGGAAAAGGAAAAAAAAAGAATAATAAGAATAATCTTAATCATCAGAATCAGTAGAAGGTCTTCCGTTGGAAACGGAAGACCTTAATTACCTCCCAAAACTATTGACTGTGGTTGTTATTTTTACCTTCCATAAAACAAGTAAAATGTAACGCATTTGGAAAAATGTTTATTTTCCATTTATTAACAAATTGGAAAAAAATAAATAAATAAGTGTATAGATATAACAAAAGACAAAATACTAAAACAAGCGTATAAAATACAATATCAGAAACTGGATTTTCGTGGGTTGGCTGACTCCTAGTGTGAGATCCATCAAAATGATGTCCTGAAAATAAAGTGAGGATACAGGTGTAATTTCATTGAGAAAACAGAATCTACACTATTACAGGTAAGATTAGTTTCATTCCAAAGTTAAGCGGGAAATAATAAAATCTGGATTACAAATATTTAAGTAAAAGAGAATGTTTATATGAATAAGTAATTATAAATTGGTTTCAATTCTGATCATTGTTTGAGCATCATTTTTTGAGTAAAATACAACTATAAATACATGTGTAAATACCTTTATGATCTTTTGGTTCATCGTAACCTTTTTGTGCTACGTGCAGGGCTTGACCTTTTCTTCGTACCTGTAAAACATTTAGTTTCAGCATTTTGTATAATTCTTCATTTGATGTTTAATTTTGACGTGCATATCATAATGCATATATATATAATGAAAACGTCACTGACTATGATTATTGGCAAAAACGCTTTGTCAGAACTAAGGGTCAATTTCTGTATAAATAAAAATTAAAATTAATTATTATGTACAGGGTTCTAAACTTTTGCTAAGTAAATACATTATAAATAACGAAATCGTCACTCATGGAAACATGCATGTACGTCATCAAAAACAAGGGAAAGTTTATTTTCGTCACTAAATATCTGTCAACCTGCTTGACCTTGGGCTATATTTTAACTTTTTTTCCTATTTACTATACATACGTTTTACTTAGAGATATTTTTATACATTTATTTTGAATTTAAAATGAATTTTTTCTGAATTTCAAAGCGTCTGCTGTTAGGCTGCGTAAATTATTCGAATAAAGTTGAATGCATGAAACTATCTGTTAATTGATAAAATATAGTCTGAATATTACGAAAACTATAAAGAATAAAACTTAATTTACTTTATAAAATTATGCTAAACAAATGTCCCTCAAAAAATGTCATTGACAAGAAAAAAATTACTAAATATTATATTGCTTAAAATTAAATGAAATGGGATATGCATTCTTAAATGTATTGATAATGTATACATTAATAAAGAAGAGATATATTGTGTATAATTGTTTCGGTCAAATAAAGTTTTATTATTATTATAGTATTGAGATGAGGTGATCAATTATATTATTGATGGCGGATTTCGTTAAAACATGTTATTTTGTACAAATTTAAGGCAGCTAGAACACACTATGCAGAGAAAAGAAGTCCTTAAGAATGTATATGGCAAAGTTAGTATACTTACGCTTTCCAGGCTTCGCAGGCGTTCTTATATCTCTTGGCCCCGTCCAGGGTACAATAGGGACTGTTTATATCAGGGCACCGGAAGTTCTCCCGATTCTTTAGGTCCTTTGGTAACAGCGGTTGGGATGAATGCATTTGAAGACCTACGAATAGAGAGAAGAGTATAGACTAATATATCCGAGTTTTGTGCCTACCCATTCTTGAACTGTCATTATGTGTTAAGCAGCAAATAATTAAAGTAAATTAGTAAATTAATGAAATTATATTTTTTTAATTAATAATTTGAAAGAAATAATTCTCACTTGAAAAAAGAATACAAGCAATTAATGCAATGTGTATCAGCTTCATCTTCGACGATTTATAACAAATTTCTGGTTTTCTTTCTCTATTTATACTATGTCCAAGTCATCTGATTAATTAACATAAATGGGTTATGCATGAATTGCATGTTCATCGTAACACCGGTTTTGTGGCTACCTTGCGTAATTCAAAAATCCCCATTCCTTCCTGAGCTGTAAATAGGTCAGTGCAAATAGTCCTCTTAATAAATTTATGCGTCCATTATGTGAAAAGTTTAATTAATTCCACCAATCATATAACACATGCAGGATTGTCCTCAGTTTTTTAGAGGTTATACGGGATTAAAAAGTCACACATGTAGTAAATAAAGGAATAAATACTTACCGACTTTATTAATTATTTGAGGAAGTTCAGTCATTTAGGTTATTTCCACATATACATCATCAAAACAGGTTTGATACCATTCCTTTGTCATGAGTAAATAAACAACTTTAATAGGTACATCATCTAATTCAACCGAGATTTATAATAATTTATAATTCCTTCACAAAAATGTGGGGATTTAAACATAGGATTTTGAACACAAAAATTGATACATTTTAAGAAACACCGCATATTTTCTTAACTTCTTTTGTTGACAAACCTGATTTGTAACAAAATATGAACGTAATTTAAAAAAAAAAATATGCCACCGACTTTACAAACTTTATCTTTCCTGAGCTCCACTCATCAAAAAATATAATGTGTCTATCCCAAAAGAATTTCTTACAAAATAAAAATGCCCACAATTTTTATCAAATCTTTCGGAGCAAAATTTGACGGGAATGTTTAAGACTGTAAAATCTGTGTCTTTTTGAATTCAGCGAAACTTCCTTTATTTAGAATGTTGATTGTACAATGACAATTAAGCAAATGAACTTGTACAGTCAACATGCGAACATGAACAACAAAGAAGATTTACAATATATGTATATTGTATCACAGTACTAATAGATCAATTTGTTTAAAAACATTTCTGTTCTAAGGAACTCTGTAGTTCAAGTTTAAATGATTCAATATATATAAAATATAGATTCAAATGAACATTGCTAGGTATATTTATCTGTATTTATTTCTTTCTAAAAATAAAAAGAGGAATACAATGTGCTAAAATTATAGAAGTCGAGTCATCATGGTCATCATTAGTGCAGAAATTACAATCATGCATTTATAAAAACTATACAATCAACCAGCTTCAATTTCAAAGTTTATAATTACAAATGGAAAATCAAATTTACACAAATCTAAGTTCAACTGGTAACATGGTCAGATATCAAAGTCATATTAATTTTGTACTTTATATATGCAAGGTATTTTAGAAAATATTTCACATTCTAACCTTGGATAAAACTACGAAACACTTAATTTATTCTTAATTAACATAACTATCATGCATGAATAAAAATCAACATTCTGAGCATTCCACATTAAATCCAAATTACATTGCAAATGCAAAATATTCTTTTCATGTGACGATATGTATAAATATGCAACTTTGTGTAATTTGATTATCTCTGTTTCGAACACACAAAAAGCTTTCTAAGAAACCATCAATTGTATGCGGCATTTTATCCAATTCTGGGGGAAAAAAAAACAATAACAATGAAGAGCTCGATAATGTTTTAAAATGAATCTTTTTAAATGATTTTCTTAAGACTTTTAAAAATGTTGCAGTTTTTAAAATCTCACGACATGGTGTCAAAAAGTTGCAGTTCCCTACCAATTAGTTATGATGGCATATTTCTGTCCCTTCGAGCCAAATCATTTTTCTATTGATTATGTTGACTTGCAAAATGCAAACAATTGTGCACATACCACGAAACAATATCAAACATGCAAGAAAAAATGTTTACTTTATCAAATTGAAAGAATTTGGTTGTCTGTTGTTGTTGTTGGTTTTTTTTTTTTTTGGGGGGGGGGGGGGGGCAAATATTGCGAACATGTGATTAATTATGCAATAAAGATTCTTTATTTTGACCTGCAGCAAGTCTATATCTCTTTCATCATGTGTCAACCCAAAATAATAACACTACAATATGGTCGGCGGAAAGGGTAAAAAAGACGTTTATGCAAAACTAACAACTAATTTTATAACATAATGGAATACAAAACAGACAACCTTAAAAACAAAATCAACAGACTCGTTTGCAAAATCAACAGACTCCGATGCAAAACCAACGATCACCAATGCAAAACCAACGATTATTCATTGAATTGTCGCTAGATGGCGTGCAAAAAACAAACATTACCTGAATTAACGCTAGATGGCGCGCAAGTTTTTCTACGTCATCATTATTTTTGTACTTTCATAGGAAGGTAAATGGATCAGGGCCACAATAAAAGAGTGAAGGTCAAAAGGCTGAAAAGTAACACATGTAGGAAATTCGCATGCCTCCCTTTCAATGATAAAAATAAAAACAGCTCACATGTTTGTGAGACTTTCTGGGTGTAGAATTAAGTTAAATGTCAAAAGTTGATATGCATCAAGATGCATTTCAAGCATAAATTATGCATAGAAATATGTATTGATATGAGAGGTCATTTGGTTTGTTTACACTTTTTAAGCCAAGCGAGAGCTATTCGGAGGTCATGACGTCAGAAGTTTATTAATAATCAGGGATTTCCACATTGAACACCCCTATTTTTATGTGAATATTTATTTAACACATTGCTCTGTATTGTGGTAAAAATATTTTGAAAATGAATCTTTTTAAAAAAAGTTACAAAGAAAACAAAACACATGTTTTTACTATATAAGTCTAAATTATGTAAGCTAATGTGGCCCGGGTCCAAATCCTGCGAAATTGTCTAGTATCAACATCCATTTGGCAAACAGCATCATGTCGGACTTTATAAATTCAAATATATTAGAGGCAACAAGACATCTACAAAAGACTGTAAATATATTACAAGAAACCAGTAGCAGATATTGGTACTTTCCCCAAGAGAAAATTTTAGAAAGAAAAAAATCCCCTTACACTCTTCAAAAAGTTCATATAAAATTATTTTATTGTGTTCATGCATTACACAATTTGTTGATACCTGTATGAAAATTCACTTGGCAAGTTATACTTGTATCATTTTTGCTTTTCTTTGTTCGACTAAGTGAAGTCTATTAAATTTATTTTAGAATAAGTTAATTTAGGAAGCAATCTGATTAAAATAAGATCCGTTGATCGCTACTTGTGTAGCGATCTATGAGAGCGGATCAAAGGATCTGATATTATTAATCATATTAAGTATCATGTCGCACAAATATGGTTCATATATGTTAGACAATAAGTAAAAAATAATTTTATCAAACTGCATGTATTGCCCAATAATTACGCAGTTTTCAATAATATACTCAGTAGATATGCACGGATCTAGAGTTCCAGACCCCCCCCCCACACACACCCCTTGGATTTAGCAGAGATTTTTTTTACACTCAACCAAGTTTACTTTAAATGACCTTGGACCCCCCCCCCCCTAGAAAACGCTGACCCCTCATCAAATAAGCGAATATGCTAAGTGGCTGTGAAAAGTACTAGGTTTCTATGTATAAAGATTTAAAAGTTAACCCCACCCATCCCTCCCCCAAATAGGTTTTTCAAGCTTGGGAAAGGTTTATGTTAGTTTATTTGTTTGCTGTTTGTTTTTTTTTTTTGGGGGGGGGGGTGTGCTTGTCAAAAAAATTATGGGCTGAATTGTTTTATTGGAGTGGACCCCCCCCCCCCTCCCCGGAAAAAAAACAGGATCTGCGCCTGTACAGATATGAATTATATAATACAGAAAAGATAAATGCTCTGAGGAACAAGATAATCAAGGTTATATATATATATATATTTTTTGGGGGGGGGGGTGGGGATATCGACGTATCGACATATCAATATCAATAACTCATGAAGTTTCTGTCAAAGTCTCACAAGATTTTGCTAACTTGTTGATCAAACATGAATTAAAATGTTTGATAATAAATCTGGAAAACATGTTCGAAATGATAGTTTTAATTTTATTCAAAAGTTTACTATGCGTTTCTTTTTCCTATCAGTATAGTTGAAACCGAAAAAGAAATTTACACTGTAGGGCTACAAGAATGAGACTTAATTGTACTCCTGTACAAGGTGTGGTGGCATCTTTACCATAGTATGCGCAGTAGACCTTGTCGCATGTGCATTTTGACTAACACAGAAAATGGTTCTGCGTTGCAATTTATGCACTTGAAATAGCCATAAAAAAGCATGCTCAAATTCAATTTCAGTCAGAGGCCTTCGCTTCCCCCCGTAGGCTCTGTGCCCCTATATAGCTAGGCCCCCTACTGATTTTCCTAATTTCTTCGAAAACAGTATCCTCCAAACCTGGAGTAATAGCTGTCCTACATTCCTTAACCTTATTTTAAAGCAAAAAAAAAAAAAAAAAAAAAAAGATATGGATACACACACATCTTGCCTTAATTTCATTTCTTTATATTTTCAAGTACTCAAGTCATTCCCTAAAATATACACAGGGTCCATCTAATAGATAAAAATGGGTATATAATGTATCATATAGTATATGATCCCCTATTATATGTATTCCTATATACTAGTATATATGATTTCGATACCGATCGGATAATATATTCTGTAATACATTCCAAGATTTGCCCATTGGATCCTGATATATAATTTAGCGTGATTTACGTTCCTATGAAAGTACGAAGGGCATTTCAAAAGTCCTGAGAGCTGTTTAATAAAAAATTATCTGTTTTACTGAAATTATTGTATTTGATATTATTGGAAAAATCAGAAAAATATACACATATTGTGACGTCACTTTATAATTTTAATGACCTAATAACTCCGGAAATGACGTCATACTTCCGCATGCTAACAATACTGGCCATAAAAATGACGCAACAAAAGACACAATTTCATCAAAGTAAAATTTTAAAAACAACTTTTGTTCATTGCTCAGGCGCAAGCTATCGGACGCAAATGCCAATTGGTAGAATCTTTACATAGACTATAATCTATCATATGGTGTTCTATTTCGGAGATCTTCTTCTTCTGAAATGCTTCAAGCGATTGTCAACATCGCATGATTTTATCGAATCTTGCTCAAAATATTGCGTATAACAGACCTAATTGTGAGAAAAAGACAAAGTTGGCAATCAAAGAAAAATAGACGATCGTGTTACAAAAGTTGATGGCATCAATTCGTCAGGTGTTTTAACGAGATTTGCAGGATCGATGAAGGCTCAAGAGAAGTTAAGTTTAGTGTGCCCCATACTTTCTCGTAAAATCCAAAATGGCGCGGGCACAGTTGTAACCCCACCGTACCTCCACATATTCGCAAAATATAGTTCATGGAAATTAAATAAGATTCTACATATGTCTGTGTAACTTATAAACCTTTTTTGGAGTCAAAATTCAAAAGCAGTAGTGAGTTTTGGGGCGCCGAAGTTGAATTAATATGAAAAAATACGCACAGAAACAAGTAAAGGGCAAGACTTTTGTACATTTTATTTGCAAACGGTAAGAGTACTGTTACTCAAAATATATTTGTTGAAAACTGCATTAATATACTTCAGTTTTATACAGAAAATGTTTTATTTCATACAATTTAGAACTACATAAAAGACCGAAAATCCAGTCGTATCATGTAACTAAAAATCTTAAAAGAATGTCGATGATAGCATAACCGGATATAAACCGTGCTAGCTATAGTAAACAAACCAAACAATGAAAATAGAATTGTTGATAAACAGTACCATAGTCCTACTTGTCTTCTTTAGAAATGAAAATTTTCTTTGAGATATTTTTTTCAAATAAGCCTTTGGCAGAACTTTTAAAATCGTTTTATGTGGGTAAAAATGCGACTTTTCAGTATGCTAAACATTCTATATTCTGACGTCATTTTCGGAGATATTACGTCATAAAAATTATAAAGTGACATCACACTTTATGTATATTTTTCTGATCTTTCCAATGATATCAAACTCAATAATTTCCGTAAAACGGTTAATTCTTTATCAAACAGTTCTCAGGACTTTTGAAACGCCCCTCGTACAAAATAATGATGACGTAGAAAAACTTGCGCGCCATCTAGCGTTAATTCAGGTAATGTATGTTTTTGCACGCCATCTAGCGACAATTCAGTGAATAATCGTTGGTTTTGCATTGGTGATCGTTGGTTTTGCATCGGAGTCTGTTGATTTTGCAAACGAGTCTGTTGATTTTGCAAACGAGTCTGTTGATTTTGTTTTTAAGGTTGTCTATTTTGTATTTCATTATGTTTATAAAATTAGTTGTTAGTTTTGCATAAACGTCTTTTTTGCCCTTTCCGCCGCCCATACTACAACTATTATATACACATGTAACTACTCGTGTTGATGTATTTTTGAAAAGTTGATGCTGATTTGAATGCTAGTGATGCTGCTCTATCAGACAACTCTGAATAAGTCTGCAATCATGTTCATTTAAAGCAGAGTCTACACTTCCTTTAGTGTTTTAACTGGTTTTATGTTTAGCCAATCTACACTGTAGCAATGATATAAGTTGATTAACAGTAATCTAATTTTCCATTATATTTATAATAACCGAAGCTGATAAACAGATACTACGTACTGGAAACCATATTGTGTATGGTACAAATCTTAAAATGTCTTTTACTTGAAAACTTAGTATACTAGTATTATATGAGTTTTTCATATTGTTTTACTCATTTATGTAGAAATGATGCCATTGGATATATAAGCAACTTAACAAAAAACATTGGCAGAGTTTCAGTTAAACCTATGGTCAATAAGATATTTATTTTCAAAATTTTGGGCGTTACCTTTCTCTAAACTATACAAACACAGATGTATAAAATTAAAGTTTTAAGTTAAAACTTTAATTTTATACATCTGTGTTTGTATAGTTTAGAGAAAGGTAACGCCCAAAATTTTGAAAATAAATTAACATTATACAGACCAATATACATTGACATTATCTAGGAAATAGATAGGACTAGACTTGTATTAATGACAGTTCAATATCTAGGACCCAATTAAATATTGAATATCTATAAAGTGTAATGTAACTATGTGTAATTCCATTTATCCAACATGAATATACCTTTGAACACTGACTCATGATGGTCCTACATCGACCCAGTGTGTAATTAAACACTGTTCTAACGAAGACCAAAAAGACAATGGAGGTAAACATTGACACAGATATTCATTGTGCATAATTATATAACTTAAAACCACCACATCAATATCATTCTGTCATTTAACAATTGATGTAAATATTACACTACATGTAACAAAAACCAGAAGTCACTGTCGAAACTGTAGCTCTACTGGTTTGTACTTATAACAGAGGAAGAGAAAACTACACATTGGAACTTGAAACTTTACAACAGCAATAAATATAATAATGACTTTCATTAAGTCTTTTTTTGGGACAAATTCAGACCAAAACTGTGGGAGAAATAGCATTTTGAAAGTATATCATAAACAGATGGAGTAGCGTTTTAACTCTTTACAACTTATTAAATTGTTATGCAAAATACACGTAATGATCACGTCATAGAAATATGATGTTACCATTTCCCCGCAAGCATTTTATAGAATGGTACATGTTCCTCTTAAATTTAGCGTAAATCATATTATGACGTAATTTTCAATAAGAAAATAACTTAAAGTTTTCTTATTCTATGAAATTTAAGAAAATATAAAAAAGAAGGAATTCGGTAATAAATTGAAGATTAAATGAACTTTTTAAAATGCATGAAAATGCGTAATTGCGGGTAAACGGTATATGCGTGATTTTGCGTTAGAAATAGGAAATGGTATATGCGTTAAAATGCGTGACTGCGGGGAAGGGGGTTGAAGGGATTTCACAGAAATTTCTATTTTTGGTACCGGTAACCATGGCAACACCGTTTACTGAAAAAAAAAAACGATGCAATATTATGTATTGTAGTATAGTCTACTTGTGTGCTTAGTTATATTGAAATCAGACCAAAACTGTGGGAGAAGTAGCATTTTCAAAGCATTTCACAAACATTTCTATTGTTAGTAACCATGACAACACGATTCATCGAAAACTGATACATTAGATTATGTATCTTAGTCTCGTCTACTTGTGTGCCAAAATTATTTTGAAATCAGTCCAAAACTTAAGTAGCGATTTAAATGAATTTCACAGAAATTTCTATTATTAGTATCCATGGCAAAACCGTTCCTCGAAATCAAAATCCGATACACTTTATTATGTGTGTACAGACAGACGGAAAGACAGACAGACAGCTAGACAGACGACGGACACCTTACTATCGCATGAGCTTTTCTGGTTTCTTACCAGTAGAGCTTAAAACTACAGGACCATTTTTAGGTAAAATAAAGTATTTGGAGAGAAAATTAATAGACTGCAATTAATATGATGTATAGTCTAGTTATTTTTAAAGAACATGTACAAACACAAAAAATACCAACTGAACTAGTAAATACCAACATTGTGCACAATTATAAGCTACTTGTTATCCAAAATTATGCATGAATGAAACCCTCGTTTCGTGGCGCATTGTCTCTCTAGAGATTTCCACAATGATTATGGCACAGTCTACTTTTAATTCCCCAATGCTGCCTGCAGCATAATGGAGAGAGAGACAACAATACTGAACAACAGGTAAACAACAAAGAACACTCTGTCTAGGGCCACGGCGACAGAGGACCAGTCAAGACTCTCTGGTTCCCTCTCCTGTTTGGCGAGGATAGAGGCACTACACTCCCTGATTTCCTTCAATATTTCCAGTAATTGTCCCTCAAACCCCACAGTAAGAGGCTGCTGTTGTTTTTGGCTTTCATTGTCTATATATCGACGCCGCTTACTTTCTTCTGGGTAAGGAAAATGGAAAATGTTTCCTTTTCTTTTATAACGTTCGATGTACAAGTTATCCTGAAACAACAGATCATATACTATATGCTTGATTTACAGGTAGATTTTCATGATTTTCTGAAATAAATTTAGCAACATTGCAGCATCTATCAAAATGAAACTAAACCCGATTTGGAAAAGATAATTGTTTTGGAGCAATGGAACATGATGATCTGTTTCTTTTGATACATGTACATACATGGAAGATACATAAATTTAATTAAAACATACATTAAATACCGCGGTGTGTGCTGAATTTTAAAGTCAACATATATTGCAGAGTTTAATTTGTAGCTTAAAAACTGCATTGGCACCTTTATATTTTTTTTTACAATTCAGAGGTGCAACAAATTGATAAGATTTTAGGACTTGATAGAAGATCAACGTTAATTTGAATGCCACTTTACTCTTTAAACATTCAAAAATATTCATATGAAAATATTTCAATTACGTTTTTATCGTGGTCGTACTGCGCATGTACACAAGCAATCGTCTGCAATGGCCTGATGACGTATTTCCTAACTGTTGAGGACACGTGACCGCTCTTCTTGTAATGTATGTTGAGAACTAACACTGTCATCAGACAGGACAGACCAACCAAGATCATCGACACCAGGAAGTAAATAGCTGAAAAGGAAGGTCGGACTTTTACTGCAAGGAAAATCTCCATACTGCCTCCGAGTCGATTAAATTTCAATTGCTATCTACATGAAAAGTTTGCATTCGTTCAGATATTCTTCTTTCAGCCTACATGCAAATTTTGAAAAATTGGGCTAATACAGTTAATGAGAAATACCTTTTCTCAAAGGTTGTATGTGTGATTAACGATTAATAAAAAAAAATATTGCAAAACGCGAGGGCGAAATCTTTATAAATGGGTTCAGAAGAGAAGAGAAGTATTAATGGATATATCGAGCTTTAGAATCCATGGAAAACAAACCTAATAAAGGTGGATTTTCTCCTGATGCGGGAATCATGTTTACGATGACCAGCTGGAAAACTGCCAGGGATAGAAGGACAGTGATCTCCAGATTGACCTTCTCTCCGGCCTCAGGTGGCAGGATAAAGCCAAGACCGGCCATAAAGGACACCAAGAAACACGGGAATAGCAGGTTCATGACGTAGAACAAAGGTTTCCTCCTTAACCCCAAGATACACTCCATCGTTGGATAGGACACGTTACTGTAATACGTAACAACACTGGTGGCGTCTGCTCTCGTGACGTCCCATTCCGTGTTGTTGACGTAACTAGACATATCCAGGGTGGAACTTTTGTTGACGATGTGCACCTCTGCGCCGGTGTAGATCCACGACCCGAACACCAGACGACATTCCTGGGTATCAAACGGAAAGTGATAGACGTCGATAGCACAGGACGTCCGCACGCTAGAGGGAAACTGATACTGTACCCGGCCATTGCTGTTGACGACGGCTCTATAGTCCTTCATCCCCGGCAGTCCCTTCACGTCAGTTCTAATAAAAAAATATAAATATAGAAATATTTCCATGTTTATATGCTGATGTTTTTTGCTTCTGTCTTGTGGTCCCAGAATCTGGAAACAAACTTGGTCTTCCGTCAAAATTTTTATAATCTACACATTTTGTATGCGTAGCTACATGTATTATCAACTTCAGCTTAAAATGTGATAATGACATCACAGACAAGGCTCACTTTCACATGCCTGTAGGAGACGGGGAATGGGTCGCACTCCTCACCATAATATTGCTAGTATACATGTATGCTGTTCATTTCATATAATGAAAATGAAATGGAGCTAAGTTACAGTTATGCACCCTTAATAATATTACGCTTTATGATTTTTTAAAGGTACAAGTTGCTCCTCCCTCCAGTTAACATTGTTAGGTTGTCCCCACTCCCAACTGAAATTCTTAAACGTTCTTTCTACAATCATTTTTATTGTGCCCAGTTTGGCTTAGAACTAAATCATTTTAACGCAATATGAAACTTTAAGATTTCTGACTAACTTGTTTCCTGATCCTGGGTCTTGGTCTAAGAACTTCCTTGCATTACTCCAAGTATATCAGTATATAACATATTAATGGTATTTCTGTTTATATTTTTAATGTGAATAAAATGAAACATGTACATATGACAGCAGTGAGTAGGTAAGGAAGCAATACAAATATGTTCTCGAATACTCTCTCTCTCTCTCTCTGTGATATCATACGTGTCGTAGAGAGTGAGATCGGGAATCCAGATTTTGTCCTGAGGGACAGCCAGCCTGCCTATTCCGCTATAGTGCGACTTATTCCACCTTAACCTGCAGTCGACCCAATCCTGAAATGAACGCAGTGCTGACTGTACTTTTCACTACATGACAATTTAAAAACAATTTGATTAATTCACCGAAATGTTGATTTTATCTCTGAAGGCGAGCGTGGGATTCCTCGTTAGTTTTGTCAGAATTCTGAAGTTTGGAGATAATTAATTTTACAGGTAACTTGTAGACATTGAGTGCATTATCTGTATACAGGTATGGACATTATCATTAAAAGCATTACCACTCTCATCCATGCCGTCACGTCAATCGTCTGCTTAGGCTCATTCTGAAACATCAAATATATTAATTAATTTAAATTCTCTACTTCATCTTAATTTTATTATCAATAAAAATTATTGTTGACAATGTACACAATAGATTTGATTTTACATTTGACTTTCTTCCTCTCTAAGCATATTAAATCAAAGCATATATTTTTTGTCTATCCCACTCGCCCACCACAATCGAAGAGTATTGAAATAAATCATGGTATGGCACAATGCAGTACCTAGGTTTCAAACAGTGTAAGGATCCGCAATTTTTAAGTCAAACATATAAACGAAGGAAATGTTGCCATATAAATTTAGGTTTGTTGCAACCGGGGCTTGAACCCATAACCTACCAACCGGGGCTCGAACCCATAACCTACAAAACGAGGCTCGAACCCATAACCTACCAACCGGGGCTAGAACCCATAACCTACCAACCAGGGCTAGAACCACAGACGCTTGTTTCATACAGTGAGCTTAGTTTTCTACTATATAATATATATATAGTAGAAAACTATATATAAAGTATAAAAACAAGCGCCTGTGGCTAGAACCCATAACCTTCAACAACTTTTCTTGATACTTTGCCTTATACTAGTTTTAGTGCGAAGTGTAACGATGACAAACATTAAAGAGAAACTACTAAATACATATGTACAAGTATGTACAGTTGAACAAAGTTGAGATTGTTTTACAGACACTGAGTGTAACAGATGCTTTACCAGATCTACCAGCTGTCTGACCCCCAGGTCAATAGTGACCACTACAGGGGAGGAGTCCCGTGTGTCGTCACAGTACGGCCGCACCTCCTTCTTATAGGACTGAAACACCGCGGTCACGAGGTCGTCCAGGAGATACGAAAATCCTACTGAAAAATGTAAAATAGGTATCACCCACAATGACTGAAAACTGACATCCGTCTATCGATATCGTGTACCTACCATGGTTTACAAACAAACTGCATGTTACATGGGGACATTGATAATACAACAGCTAACTGCATAAAAATCCAACTAATAAAAATTTCAACCTCAAACAAAAATGATCATGCTGAAGATACATGTAAGGAGTGGAAATTAAGGAACAAACATATTTTCAGTTAATGGTTTTTTTTAAATTCAAATTGAATTAAATTCGTTATAAGTGTTATATGTATGTATTTATATGTTAGAATGCAATATTTGTACCCCAAGTTCACATTAAAGAACGGGGTACAGTTTCAATACAAATTAAGCCCTGTAATTTTCCAAAATATGAAAAATGAAAGTCTAATCCGAGATTCCTCTGACTCTAACCCCCGCTTTTATATTGTGACTTGTGCGACCTGCACAAGTCACAATATAAAAGCAGGGGTTAGAGTCAGAGGAATCTCGGATTAATGAAAGTCATGATATAAGAAATTAAAATTCATTTATTTTGATCATTAGAAATCCATGCAGTGAAAATACACAAATCATTTGTCTCAAATGACCTCCCGAATGCTGATTTTGACGTCATTTATTTGTGCATTTTCCCGTGTTTTCTTAAAAAGTTGCAGAAGACATCAATTTTCAGTGGAATTTCCTCAGAAAAAATACTTTGCCACCATCGCCTACAAAGATTTTGAGATATGTGATTTTTCATATCAGTTTACATCATATATCAAAAAATTGAAGTGGGCGACGGTGGCAGAAAGTTTTCTGTAAAAGAAAATAAACGCAGAAATAAATCATTCTGGGTTGTTTTTGCATTAAACTTAGAAATAAACCAAATTAATGACGTTATATTTCCAGAACGATCCTCCTTCATGTCATATTCATTAATAATCTATCATATTCATCTACTCAACTCTTGTTAAAGCCAATTTTACAACTTTTTAAGAACATTAAATTTTTAGGGCACAAAAAAGGCCAAACTGTACCTTCTTCTTGCTATCAGAGGTGGGAGTAAAAAAAAACCCACATCGCTATTACTGGTTATCTAACAACAAAGCTCTATGACAAACGTATTGACTTAAACAACTTTTCAATCCCCAACTTCCCTTACTTATGAAGCAATATACCTTTCTAAGAAAGAACATTTCTTAAAACGAGGTGAATTATTGACAAACAAGTTGAAGAATTTCAGCAGTCTCGTTTAAAGTCATCATTTCGTAAGTTCCATGGGCGATACAATGACCTTGTCCGCAAATAATTACAATTTATCATTCTATCAAATGCATTCCTTCTGATTGTTTGACCATTATTTACAACTCATCCACCGATTTTTTATCCGTTTTACCCCTAAACATGACAAGAAGCACACGGTGGGTGTAAGCGGGGATGCTCACTCCTCCATGGCACCTGATCCCAACTCCGCTCCTTTTTTGTATTGTTTAATTGACTTTTGAGCTCGAATACACTTCGTTATCTCCACATATTTCACTGGATATTTAGACAGGAAATAAATACTATTATTATATGATTGAATAATTTCCTTCTCTCTGATTGGCTGAGATCCAACTATGTTAGAAAAATACTACGTTGTATTGACCTGCACGTGACGTTCCAGGTCAATACAAGGAATTATTGCAGGTCAATACTAGGAATTATTGACCTGTTCCATTTTTTCTGTTACAATGTGTTCTTGTTGAAATTTCTTGTTAAAACTTTCAATTAAAGCAAAGAAACAGTCTTGTAGGAGTTTGCTATCATTTAATCATATAATAAAACAGTTATTGCTGTTTTTGCGGTCAATACGATGATTAAGCCACCTTCGAAGTACAATATTCACTTCGCCCTTCGGGCTCAGTGAATATTGTACTCCTCAGGTGTCTAAATCATCGCATTGACCTAAACAACAGCAATAATTGTATAGTATATACTTTTAGGTATATAGTATGGATACAATGTATCATTGGCATGGTCAAACAATTTAACCAGCTATAACTGCAGCCGTACATCGGGCAACAAAGAAAAAAACTGGTGAATAATCCGACTACGTGTATACATATAGTCATTTTTAAGAAGATTGTTTTGAAAGAAAAGGAAAAAATTAAGAAACACATTACATGTATTACGGGAATAAAATATTCTCGAAACTGTACTCACCAGAAGCATAGAGCTGAAAGAAGAAAACAACACACCAAATTCGGATAACTTCCATGTCCAAGAATTAGTTTAAGTGTGATTGGTCTTAATTCCTGAAGAATCGATTTTAATCCATGTCAGCAAACAAAAATAAATTAACAAAGCTCTCGATGATTGAATTTGTGTAAATTTTAGTAGCATAAATATATGGATGGTAAATTATACGTCTGTGTGGTCAGTACCTGGGACAAAAATAGCACAGGTTTTAATTTATCATGTGTACATTAGGATCTCCATCATAAAAAAATTAATTCGATTAAGGCTTATCGTTGACGAATATAATTTTTCCAAGCAGTTCGTGTCCTTTAATTTAGGAATAAGGATAATAGAACACCTTCACTACTCGCAAAACAGAAGGTACTATTTATAACCGTGTTTTTCACAATCAACCTTCTAAACGAAATGAAATCAATGGCCTCTATAATTCTTGTGCACATTTGACGGATTAAACATCGATTACATGAATAGTTTTTTCTCGCTAATCAATATACCGTTTATTGACATAGGCCATCTTCTCTTATGTTAGATCTCTTTTGCAACTATAATGATTCGGGGATAAATTAATTAGGCTGATACGTGAAGTTACGATTGCAGTTGTGGATTCGACAAAGGGGTGGAAGTTAGGGGACGGAACCCTCCAGGGATTATTGTACTAAATTAAAGGAATAAAGAACATGACTTTGGACCCCTCACCCACCCCCTCCTACACATCGACTCCTACACATTTTAAAGAGGATCATGTGTAAAGGAAAGCAACAGCTATAGGGAACCCCCAGAAGCCAGCCTTTTTATTATCATGGCCATTGCAAGTTCCCGGTGTGCGCATGGTTATTATTAAAATTGGAAGGCATTATACGAGGGCTGTTCAAAAAATAATGTTCTCGGTGTTCGGAAAGAGACAAAAAACGCTTTTCAAGGATTTAGTCTTAATGATTTCACTTACACTGTAATTATTCTCTTTTAATGAAAACACATGTCCGTAACATTTTTATCCAATTTCTGATTGTTTTTAGAACACTTTCTTGAGTATGACCCTTCTTATACTGCATCCTATGATTTCCTTAACTTCTTTCTTCTTAATTCCTAATTTTTTTTTCAAGTTTGGAAAATCAAACAACTTACTGTGAAACTACTGTATGTGACGAAAAGTGGTTACAAAAAAATGCAGTTCGTTAAAGATTAAGTCATGATATAAAACTAATCAAACTGAATGTCATATGATTTCTATATTGTATGTCATACAGCTCTGGACATTATTTGTTGAACAGCCCTCGTAACTGACTACGATCGTGCGTATGAATGGCTGAAAAAGTCGTGCAATGACGATGAAGCGATGGCGAGATAATGCGATGACGATGGTACGATAGCACGATGAAGCGATGGTGCTATGACGCGATGGTGCGATAGCGATGACACTATGGTGCGATAACGATGGCGCGATGGTACGATGACGATGAAGCGATATTCACTTTTACTCTATCGTTCTATCGCGCCATCGTCATTGCATTATCGCGCCATCGCATCATCGTCATCGCGCTATCGCACCATACCTCTATCGTCATCGCACCATCGCTTCATCGTTATCGCGCCATCGCATTATCGCGCCATCGACCAATAAGTCCATGCTCTATGGTGCGATAGTAAACTGCATGGCCCTATCCGGATTCCATAAAAAACAAAACACAAACATATGGAACGCCATGGCTGCCTTATGTTAGCTGACTTTATTATGCTGTGGGTTTGTAATTATATGCTGTGGGTTCGTAATTATATGCTGTGGGTCTTTAATCATATGCTGTGGTTCTATAATTATATGCTGTGGGTTTATAATTATATGCTGTGGGTCTATTATTATATGCTGTGGATGTATTATTATATGCTGTGGGTTTATAATTATATGCTGTGGGTCTATTATTATATGCTGTGGTTGCATTATTATATGCTGTGGTTTCGTTATTATATGCTGTGGTTTCATTATTATATGCTGTGGGTTCATAATTATATGCTGTGGGTGTATTATTATATATTCTGTCGGTTTATTAGAAACTAGCTTTTCGAATCCGGACTTCTCGTTTTTGGAGTTTACTTGCTCAAAACGGCGGCAACTGCAACAGGGCTTACCGTAATAGGAATGAGAGTACCAAATCCCCGGATGAGCACATTGCTTTATTTGTGGTGCCACAAATAAAGCCATCTGCTCATCCGGGGATTTAAATTGGTACTCTCATTGCTAGCAACTACGTTAGTCCAAATTCCTTGAATACGCATGCTCGTCGTGCATTCCGGGAAAATTGTGAAAACTACCATAGGCCGGTAGACCGTACGATAACAATTTCGTTGTTTCGTTAAATAACTTTGTTTATTTATTACGTAGTTTACACTTTAAAGATAATTGCGTAATTATAATACCTAAAAATTTTCCCTTTTTTCTGACGGAAAAGCCCGAGTCACTAACTCATTGTTCTAAACAAAGACAAGGGAGGTTTTTTGCTAGCGATCGGCTTCACGGTCGGGCATTCTGGGAAAACTTCACACGTAGCTGTCTGTGAAAACGACCATTGATAGACTGTCCGATAACAATTTCATTGTGTCATTGAGTAGAACGGGTCTTTTCTGGTTGATTCTGAAGTTTGTTTATTTACAGTGTAACTTACACTTTAATGTAAACTACACAAGAAAAAACTTAGGTCATATACGTAATGCAAAGATTCTGGACATCTAGCTTGTGAGTTCTACCACCTTCCTGGATAATGCCGTCAACCTCATAAAAAATCTTTTTTTTTTCTTTTCAAAGTTTATTGAATTGGCAAGACACAATAAGCGATTGATACTTCCACACTAATATAATTTTAATTCTATAAAATACACTTCACAAAAGATTATACCTCTAACAATCAGACTCCATACTCATTAAACATTAAAGACTTCGGCAAAATAAATTAGTTAACCACGAACCTTCCCTTCGGCGCTAGCTCGCCTATCTTTTTTTAAAAAAATAAACTTGTTCCTATTACGGTTAGGCCTGTTGCAGTTACCGCCAATTTTGAGCAAGTATAACCTCCAAAAACGAGAAGTCCTAATTCAAAAAGCTAGTTTCTAATAAACCGAGAGATTATATGATAATGCACCCACAGCATATAATTATGAACCTACAGCATATAATAAAGAAACCACAGCATATAATAATGAACCCGCAGCATATAATAATAGATCCACAGCATATAATTATGAACCCACAGCATATAATAATGAACCCACAGCATATAATAACGAAACCACAGCATATAATTATAAACCCACAGCATATTATTATAAACCCACAGCATATAATTATAGAACCACAGCATATAATAAAAGACCCACAGCATATAATTACAGAACCCACAGCATATAATAATAGACCCACAGCATATAATTATAGAACCACAGCATATAATTATAGACCCACAGCATATAATTATAGAACCACAGCATATAATAATAGACCCACAGCATATAATTATAGAACCACAGCATATAATAATAGACCCACAGCATATAATTATAGAACCACAGCATATAATAATAGACCCACAGCATATAATTATAGAACCACAGCATATAATATAATAACCACAGCATATAATAACGTACCCACAGCATATAATTAAAGACCCACAGCATATAATTACGAACCCACAGCATATAATTACAAACCCACAGCATATAATAAAGTCAGCTAACATAAGGCAGCCATGGCGTTCCATAACATAATATAAAGATATGTTCACATTATGCTATACACTTTTTACACCACGTAATAAAGCACTGACATAAATATAGATGTGTTCACCTCACATCATGATGCCCTCGCCGTAAAATAAAGATAAATCCATATTACGTAATAATGCTTTGATATAATAGAAATATCTCAAAAAAGGAATGGGCTTTTGACTTCATGTAATGATAAGTTTAATTATAAAACACAATTTACTTGACGTAATGCAATTTTGACCTCAAATATTAAAGAAATGAAAAGATGTAAAGAAACATTCACTTCACGTAGTAAAGTTTTAACAAAATGTAAACACATTATCACTTCACATAATGAATTTTTTACTTCAAGTTATGAAGTGCTGACATAATGAAAGGATGTATTTACTTCATGTAATGCAGCATTGACATGATGTTAATATATATTTACATCATCTCATAAAAAATGGACATAACGTAAAGATATGTTCACATCACGTAATGATAAATTAACATAATAAATGCATAGTTGTATGCTATAAGGCAGTGATGGCGTTCCATATTATGTCAATACTTTATTACATTATGTCAAAACTCCATTCCGTGATGTGGATATATAATCACGTTATGTCAACTCTTTCTTATGTGATTTAAAAATATCTTTATATTGTGTTAACTCTTTATCATGTTGATTCCAAAAGTTTATTACCTGATGTTAAAATACATTTACATTATCTCAAAGCTGTATATCTAGTATATAATGAATGCTGACGACCTTGTTTTAATGACTGGTAAGAAGGGGGGGGAGGGTCCTGATTGATTAGGACAAATTACAGGCACACAATATCAACCCCCCTCTTTTCCCAGACATAACTTTACTATAGAAAATGTAATGTTTATTGAAACTGTACAGCCCCCCACCCCCACTTCTTGTTGAAGTATAGTCCACTAAGGGTAATGTAATATATCTGGGAAAAAATGGGACTGATCGAAGTTGGACCCCTCTCCCCGAAGTAGGATTTTCGGGCTTGGACTTTTTTTTCTTGACTTGTCAATTTTTTTTCCCGGTAAATGATTTTTTTCTGGCTGACCTCCTCTTTCAAAAAAAGATGCTACGTCACTGGAGTTAGTAATTTTTTTAATCATTCCAGGGCCAGAATTCTATTACAAAAATCTACCAGTCGTTCTTCTAAATCAATTGAATATGCCTTAGAAAGCATGCATGGGCACATATCAGTGGCGGATATGGGAATCTTGAAGAAGGAAGGGTTGCGGTATATGGTTGGAGACCAAGGGCGGAAAGCGGAGAAGCTCTCAGGCTTTAGAGTTTTATAGAAAAAAAGTTTTCAACTTAATTCAGCTAAACTTAATGTGAAACTAATGCAATGTCCTACAAAGTTTAAGACTTTTATAAAAAAAAAAGAAAAAAAAAATTTAAAAAAGAAAAAAATGAAGACTTTTATGCATTGACCTAATAAAGGTAACCTAATAAACCAAAGCTTTAACTGCCCTAATAAAGCCTCGTGCATGTAACGTTCCAAAAGCATTGTGACGTCAATTCAAAATAATAGTTTCAAATGTAAAACTGCAGATGTGCCTAAATCTGTCGGAATTAGCTTGTTTTGGACGCTCA